GGCTTAGACGTTTTTAAAAACTTCCTATCAAGTACACGCTTCTGTTACTGGATTTGTTTAATTTAATGTTTGACCAAAGTGCCTTTCTACACTTACGGAATAACATTTTTTCTCGCTTCATTCTAAAACTGGATAGTCATAGTTAGCAACCAATTTACGTTACCTCTTGTTCAAGCAAACTTCTTGAAACGATGATAAAAAATAAAGCCCAGTGGTGGGCAGAAACAAATTACTGGCAGCATGGTTTTCACAAAATCTACTACTGCGTCGATACGTTAAGAGTATACTCAAAAAAAATCAAGGAATCTATGCTGCTTTCTTAAATATAGAAGCAGCTTTTGATAATACCCGCTATCTATACAATTCTGCTCCAAACAAAAATTGATTAGCAGTATTGGAAAACACTATTTATCTATTTATCTTTATTTATCTATTTATCTATTATTCTATTTATCTTCTAAATTACTGTTTCTATGAAATTAGGCTTAATATACTACCTTCCAAATTCAAATGTATTCGCTTTAATAAAAATGATAATGTCAAGCTCGTTGACCTTGAGATCCAAATCCAAAATTATTCTGTAAAATGAGCAAAAAATGCTACATTCTTGGTTCGATGCAAAACTCACATTTAGCAGCCATATCGCTAACTTCCACAGAAATTGAATGTTAGCCCTCAACATAATAAAATATTTATGTGATACCTTGTAGAGTTTCTCACCTGAAACCCTCCTTATTATTTATAAAACCTGTATTCGCTTAGTTCTTAATTATGCCAGCTTTATTTATTATCCTAAGAATGCAAATCTCAAGAAAATTGGAGAGGATCCTACACGTAGCAATTAGGTTAGCTTTAGGCTGCCTTATTAGCACTCGTACTAATGTTCTTCGAGCTGAAGCCAAATTAATGTCCATTAAAGAATATACAAAATAACTTTAACCTAAGATTCTGAATCTAGCCTAATGTACACCAACTTTAACTCATTTTGTTTCTCTCAAGCGCTTTCTTAAAACACTGTACATTCAATGTCTTTTTTTTAACATAATAAGTAAACACATTATACCGTAATATGAGCGCCAACCACAGAAACTTTACTGAATGGATAAATTACTTGACTATTATTTATATAGATGACGACACGTACTAAAAGTTATATAATTTCAGACCAATTGTATTTCTTAACTAATGTAATAATATTTGCTTATTTTCGAAGCGAAGCTTCTTATGTAGGGCCCTCACTTGATAAAAATAGGGAAAAGCATTACACTTTTTCTTGCCCCCTTCGTTCTTGTTCGTCCCACCACTATCGCATGCTCTCTTGACAACGAGTGTAGTATATATGTACGATACGGTAGTAGGCGCGTGCGCACGCCCTCTCTCTGTGTTTTTCTCAGTATCACCGAACGGCTCGAAAGTTAAAAGGTAAAATTAGACAAGAAACTCCAAAATAAAACAGATGACGTAAAAATTTTTAAGATAATATTGGAGCCAAAAAAATATCAAAAAACCCCGGTCGGAAATTCTCTACGTAAGCAACCTTGCTATCATACATTGGTCCTCGTGTGGCAAATGCGTTGCGTTAGATGGTAGCGTGATGTTGCGGGGAAAGAGCTCGGCCCTACCTAGTCATCTTGGTTTGTCTATATATATATATAGTGATTGTATACACCTATATAGGTACAGTTTAGAAAATAATTTTTCATAGCCGTAGAGACTGGAAGAGCTGAAGAGCTAATTGATTAATTTATTGGCAAATTTTGTGGGTACATTTTTTGCCATGACACGAAGTACATGGTAGCCTTTTTCATATACAAGTACATATCTATCACAGATTTTAAAGTTCACTATGCACGTATACAAGTATACGTTTTTTGCCAATGAAAAAATTTCTTTAATATCGGTCAGCGATCTCAAAAGTCACTGCCAAACTTGTGGGATATTCAAATTGGCTATATGGAGCAAGACGCAAAACCCCAGATAACTCGATAACATTTCATGCACCATCACTTGATAAATTAATCCTAAGCTATTTAACCCAATAACCGAACGCGCCCAACAGCAGTATCACAAGCTTTAATAATTAATAAAATACATTAAACAATAACGCAAGCACGAATCACCGCACAACCGGGGGCGCTTTCTACTTGCTGTGTTAATTAATGAAATAAATAAAGTAAAGCAAGCGCCAATCCCCACACAACCCGGGGCGCTTTCTGGTCGCTTTAATTATTANGAAGCTTTGTCTCATATACAAAGAGTAAACTCAGATATAATGTCCCATTCCAATTCCTTAAATCCACTGGAAGCTGCTCAATCTGTATTTCCTTCAATGGCTCGAGCTTTACAAAAATATCTGAGAATTACTAGGCAACAACCTCGTTATACAGTAGAAACTATTTTAAAAAGATTAGCACATTGTATATCTCAAGATTTATCACCTCGTTCATTCTTAGAACCATTTTTTAATACAAGTCCTGTTCTTTCAAATGAAAAAGAACAACAGCGTAAAATACAAGAGTGGGCTCTAGTATGTGAGGGAGATTTGCCATCTAGACCACTCCGTCATAACTCAGTATTTCAACTACGGCAAGGAGAAATAGCTCTCCTTTGTACGATCTACTCACTACCAAATTTATCTTTAACTGAGCAAATAGCTCTTCCGAAATCAAATAGATTCTTATTAAGACTAAATTCGGAGACGTCCGTATGAATTTTTTTTTCTTTTTATATTTTCTTTGTGACCGAAAAAATTTTTATAAGTATTAGGCTGCGATCTAGTGCCATAAGTTGTTTTCTAAAAAAAGTTTCATCGTTCTGACTTGTCAAGATAAATCTATTTTTAAGAAGATACTGTTTACTTTAGAACATTGTAGCATTAAACATAAAAATATAGTGGTTTCCTACACTCTGGCCAAGATCTTTACCCACCCGCTGCAAGTGGGCCCGATATATTACATGTTAAAAAAATTTTTCTACTGTATAAATAAAATAATTGATTTTTATTGCGTTTTCTTCTTTCACAAGTTTTCCTTTATGGTTGTGGTGATTTTTTGACTTTAGGATGTTTATCATATCGTAAGTAAGGTAAAAAATGAGTTCCAAGTTCAGAGAGGTGCGAGAAGTGTAAACCTACGCAGCGACGCTGAAAATTATTTTTCTTATATAGATCAACTTATATACACGCTTTTACGCATACTTGATCTCTTTTTCCATATCCGTAATTTTTCCATAAGCTTACATGTTGAATTGTTACTTTTTACAATAAATATGTAAAAAGGGGTACAGTTATACAATGTGCAATTTTTTTTTAAATTTCTTATGCTATGTTTAGCATACTTTCGATGCTTGAATAATATCTGTCAAAAAAACCTATGTGTGATGAACGTCCTGAAGGGACATTCACTGGCTATTGAAGAAAGCGGTACTATAGGACTGTTTGTTTTAATTTTTGAGGTACAATTATAGATTGGGTATTAATTAAGGAGTAAGAATAACTGTGTGAGCGTGACGTCAAAGATGTAGCCATCGTAGGCAGTACAATGTTGTTTTTAATTTATTCGATAATTGATTGAAACTGCATAGTCTTATCCTGGCCAGCCTACATTTTTTGCTTGTATTGTATTATTCCACAATATGTTGTTTATAATTGCTTAGTCATTAAGTATTGAAATATTTATTGCAACCACACCCAACGTACATAGGTATAATTCCAACGATAATTGCACTACCTACAAACACAATATCGTTTCACAGAAGGTATATTAATATTTTTAATTATGTTATCTGCAGTATGATTTTATAGAAGTATAACTTCTTACTTGAGTACCCAAGCACCCACTGTCTATTGGTTTAAATAAAATAATGTTACATCGACAATAATTGAATAATGAAAAAAATAGTTTTTCCATAAAAACCTTATCAAAGCTCTGCTTCTTCCATGGGTCCTGGGATCCGTTGTTTTTAAAATAAAGTCAGTATCTGTACCTTGAATAAGGTCAGTGCACTTCCACATAAGAAAAAAAAAAAAAAAAATCTAAAGCTTTAATCCGATTGGTTTGACAAACCAATATCTTCTAATTAATTAAAAAACTTGTATATAAATAATCCAATATCATTGAAAATTAATACATTTTTCAACTAAGTAGATCGTGCAGTTTGATTATCACACACAATTTTTGCAAGAAAAATTTAAAATAATCTAAAAAAATGTAACATAATAATGACCATAAACAATCGTTTATCAATACATAACAATCAGATCTTCTTGTATAAAAAAAAAAAAATGATAATAATTACAACGATAACCTTTCCCAATAATTAAAAAAAATTCATATTTATGTCCCCTTCCTTCCACTATTTTTCTAAGCTTGCTCAAAATGATTGAACAGTAGTTTATTACTTAAAAAAAGCACAAAGTACTAATAGAAGAAAATAGTTGTCGTGTGTTTGTGCCCAAAAAAACGGCAGTTGCAATTGTTTCCAAAGTAAGAAAGTTTAATATACAATTATACCCCTGATCATTCATAAATTAAAAAAAATAATAACATCAGGTAAAGACTAGACAGATCAGACCAGCGTTGTGTACAGTTTAAATTGTACTAATTACCTACCATTTTACATAGGTGAAATTAAAAAGCTGTCAATAAAAATATAAGTGAACATGAATTGTGTCATCATTTCACTTTTAAATTGTATCATAAAATCATTGTATTATTAAATTAAATTTTTATAATAAAACGTTGCCCATCAACAATTGACATCAACGTTAATGTGTTCTTAATTTTCATTCCAACTACTATACTCTCAATGGACTATTTACAGGTAGCACAAAAATATTTTTTATTTTTTTTAGACGTATGTTAAATTGTTTAGAATTTGTGGAATAGATTAATGATTTATTGGTACAGTTTTCGATATTGAGCAATCAAAAATATGCATACTTATGGAAATATTATTCAATAGGATAGTTTTCAAAATTTACTTTACGTTTTTTGTTTCAGGTTATTCGATCTCCTGATGGTGAATCTCATTCCTTTGCTATAGGTCAATTATCCATCCAACAAGCTGCAGTTTGGATTCTAGAAAATTACTATACAAAGTTTTCTATTTACAACCCGTACTTAGAACGTTTACCAGCATCGAAATCTAATAAAACAAAAAACCACAACAACTTTAAATTCTACAATGTAGATAGCAATACTGCCAGTAGTCATGAAGAATATAGTCAACCTGCATATGGAAGTAGCCAAGCTGTACAAACTGCACAGGCAAAACGGAGAGATTCAAGTCATAATGAACGTTTTTATGAAGAACACGATTACGATAGAAGAGTGCGAAAGCGGAAAGCGAGATTGATAACTGCTACAGAAGAAGCTTTTGCTCATATACAAAGAGTAAACTCAGATATAATGTCCCATTCCAATTCCTTAAATCCACTGGAAGCTGCTCAATCTGTATTTCCTTCAATGGCTCGAGCTTTACAAAAATATCTGAGAATTACTAGGCAACAACCTCGTTATACAGTAGAAACTATTTTAAAAAGATTAGCACATTGTATATCTCAAGATTTATCACCTCGTTCATTCTTAGAACCATTTTTTAATACAAGTCCTGTTCTTTCAAATGAAAAAGAACAACAGCGTAAAATACAAGAGTGGGCTCTAGTATGTGAGGGAGATTTGCCATCTAGACCACTCCGTCATAACTCAGTATTTCAACTACGGCAAGGAGAAATAGCTCTCCTTTGTACGATCTACTCACTACCAAATTTATCTTTAACTGAGCAAATAGCTCTTCCGAAATCAAATAGATTCTTATTAAGACTAAATTCGGAGACGTCCGTATGAATTTTTTTTTCTTTTTATATTTTCTTTGTGACCGAAAAAATTTTTATAAGTATTAGGCTGCGATCTAGTGCCATAAGTTGTTTTCTAAAAAAAGTTTCATCGTTCTGACTTGTCAAGATAAATCTATTTTTAAGAAGATACTGTTTACTTTAGAACATTATAGCATTAAACATAAAAATATAGTGGTTTAAAAATATTAATAAGTATACAGGTTTCAGCTTCATAATACAATAAGTAGCTTTGTAAGTGGACCCTTGCACTTTTCTTTTCTGTTCATAAAAAGAAAATGTTCGCGTACTTTTCCGTAGCTTTTTACACTTTCGTGCACATTACTATAATTGATGCACAATTAACTTTTTTGACACATTTATAGATTCCAGTAGCTAAAACGTATCGAATTTCACATTTTTATAAAATTGTAGTTTTTAAGTGAATTTCGATAGTTTGTGTACTGTCATTTTATAAAGTTCGTACATCTACAAACATCTTTTAATTTTTGGTTTTTCCAAGTATAGAGTTCAAATTAAGTTTGAATTGACTTAATTTTAATGCATTTAACAAATTTTTTCTGTAGCTTACAATATGTTTGAGATATTTTACATGCCAAAAATTCATTTAAATTAATTTTAAAATTAAGAAGTCGCTGAATCGTGAGAGTTATGCATGGAGTAATATGATTTTTAAAATGAGCATGCATGTCTGTACCATTATTTATTTATAAATTTATCTTGGTGATATCAACGGTCATCGCTGCTTTTTTTGTATAAACTCTCACAGTAATTCAAGTGTTATTCAAAAATGTGTGTGGATACTCAAACTCCCGTGCGCCAGCCGGTATGTAATATTTGAACAGGATTTCACGAGATTGTAAAATATTCTGAAAAACTCTTTATAATACCTCTTAAATAAAGATAAGCCTTTTGTAACGTACTTTTGTTTTGAAGCTCCTATAATCTAAAACAAAGCAAATTAAAGAAACTTTAACCATCCAAAATATTTACTTTATTTATACTCCGTCTCAAATAACTTCATCTTTCTCTCTAAAATATCTACATTTTTTGAAGTCGTAAATGTAAGGCTTTAACTAATATTGAACAATTTTTTGAACTCCAAAATTTAGCCCTAAATTTTTTTTTTGCTTACGCTAAAATTTTAGGCGTCATTAACATCAAATTGTCTTCTTTATTTAAGGAGGCTCCCTCGTAACAGTTCCCGAACCAAGACCAGATGAATTTAATAGTTAAAAATGTACTGAATCCAATGATATAGTTATTTATGTCGCTTACCCTGCGAAGTTTCGAGATAGTATTAATTTAATGTAGCGCTTTCTAATGTATTCTTATCGTGGATCTCACACACACTATGAAAACAACTGAAAAACTGGAATAAATCAACAGTTTCCATAATAAGAGTGCCCACGTTTTGTAGAAAAAAACCTCCTCTTTCAAATGGCCCCTAGCAAAGTAAATGTTACCCTGGAAAATTTCGAGATACTCTATTAAAAATTGATCAAGTCATGATATTTTCACAGGTTAGTCTATGTTCCCTTGCGCCAGTGATGCCAACTATACCTAAGTTTGCGAGAAAATTCGAGACTTACGATGAGGGTTTATTATTTCTGCATGAGGGAGCCTCCTTAATGCAAGCATTGGGAAAAAAGCTATATAAATCAAATCATATTCCTAAGTTCAAACTGGTTAGAAAGTGTAATAAAGTCTGATATTTTTTTGTTGTATTAATTTTGAATAAAAGTCACCACGTGATAGTTTAAAAAACAGTTTGTGGTACGTCGCGCCTTGCTCGGCTTGCAGTCAGCAGCAAGACACGGCACATATTTATTTTCATGATGTAGACTTCATGATATAGCCTTAGCCCTACGTGTGCAGGTTTGGCAGTTGCTGCTCGGCACAATGCTTTTACGTGATAGGGACGGGATACAAAGGAAATAGGCCTACCGTTTTCACTACTGCAGGGGTATCTGCTGTAACACTAGCTTCGGGTACCAGGACATTTTTAAAAATTTTATAATAGGGGTTGTGATTGTTAGAGACTTGTTTAAAAAATTGATTTTTAGCTTTTGCTGATGACTATTCATGATAATAGTTTTATTTTATATAAAAACAGCCGCTAGAGCAAATCCTGTAAATGTAAAAACTATTTATGCATAAATGAATTATGGTTTGAATTATTGTGAAAAAGTTACAGTATGATTTTTTTAAAGCATCAGACATGTTTAAGTTGTGTTTTAACATTTCTAGTAACGTATAGAAGAGATATACTTGACTGTGTTGTTTATGCTTACACTTAAAGAGTCAAAATTTGTTTATTACAAGATATTATACCACCATTATTACAAAACGTACTGAAATTTTATTTACCACCAGAAAATAGTTTTTTTTTTTTTTTATGAGCTTTTTTAGTTTTAATTCTATTAATTTTTGTATAATAGTTTTGGAAGTACCGGCTGTTTTGTCAAGTTCTTTAGTTGTTACGTTTTGGCAACGTCTACCATGTGTCGTTTTTATTTTTATGTAAAACTTGTGTTGTAAGTAGGGACCAGCAAAAGTTAAAATTTCATTTTCCAAACAGTTCTTCCGACAATAAGTACCTCACTATTAGGCATTTGATGTCTGAAAATACCAATATTCTAAAATTTTAATATTTAACAAAATATTTTTGACTGCCGTCATCTCTTGAAAGCTAATTATTTTTATCCTTTCAACCACTTCTGGGTATGATGTAAAAGTATTGCTTATAATCTACCAAAAGTACTTTTCCTCCAAAATTTTACGGGTAAAGGGCTGCATTACCTCCTGGGTAAATAATCAGCTACAGCTAAGGAGGTCCAAGCATTTACTTTCATTGAATCATTTCGAATAATTTGAAAAATAAAATAAAATTTTAACTTGTTGTGTATTCCGCTTGCCTTGTTGCTGGATAATAATTATTATCCTAGAACACATAGTTTAATTGTATTTTCCTAAAGAAGCACATTGCGAATGTCCATTTAGATGTAACATCGGTATACCCACATTAATTTTTTTTCGTTTTCTTTAAAGTTTTCACGCCGATTTTAAAAGCACTAAACGCAAAGGCCAACGTGCATCTGAAAAGAGGTAAATCACCCATAAGGATTGCTCGTAGCTGCGGTATGACCAAATATGACTCGCATACATGCACGCTGGCCTACGCTGACTGGAAACGAGAACGAAACGAAATACTTTTTAAAGTTGGAAAATAAAATAACTTTAAAGAACTAAGAGATGAAAAAATTAGCTGAGAACAGCTGTGTTGGTAGATACAAATAATTTAGAATTAAAACAAGTAGATTAAGATAAAAATTATATATCGTTAATTTAAGTAATAAGACAGACATAGCTGAGCCAAATTCAAGAAACTTACAATAAGCAACAGCAATATGAGTGAAGGTGTTAACTACGGTAAATCTAGCAGATCAACATTATTAACTTTTTGTTTGTTTTTGCAGATGTACGGTTTGCTGAGCTACCCCTTTATACTATCAAATTTTTGTACCATCCGCAAATGGCCTAATTTTCTGTAACCCTGTCAAATATTGCTAGTCGCTTATTATGTAAAGGAAAACGGGAAAGTCTAGCCTACAATCAACAATAGCTCTTTCCCCTCTTTCTCATTTGGATATCCCAGAGAGAAAGAGTCTGCACGGCCACTTCAATATAAGCAACGGAATTTTCTAATCCCCAGAGCACCATGAGCCAACATCCTCTCCAACGAGTAGGCAAAGAGAAATGTACGAATTGATCGTGCTACTGATATTTTGGAATGCATTCGTAACTAACAATAAATTGAAACGACTGACAAGCTTAGCTAATTTAACAACCAATGGTCCGCGACAAACACCTGATTACGGCAAACTTAGCAACTATTGTAGTTATGACTGACTAAAAATTACCACTACTAAAGCGATTGTTAATACCACAACGCACCAGACGATTTTTCAATCAACACTTACACAAAACATTAAGCGATTTTCACCGCTCTTGTTGCAACAAACTTGACTGAATAAACGAACTGTGCATTACATTAGTGAAATTTAGTAATTTAGTCAATCTTATTTTAATATTAATATTAAGTTACATGGAAAATCTGTAAAATTTGGATGTAAAGGAGATAGGAAGGGCACGAGTGAGTGAATCACCTTTCCTTCTCTTGGAACACGGAGGAGAATGAGCTGGATGTGGGATGTGCCAATTTTTGAGTATCTGAACTAGAGCACCTCTAGCCAATTAGATCTTTGGCTGTTGTCTTTTCCCTTCAAGATTTTCCCGGCAAATCTTCCTGCGTCGTCTCAAACCAGCGCGTTGCAGAGGTCTGCTTCTCCTTATAAAAAGGCCCGGAGGCCCCGAGAAAGAGACTTGATATTAGCCCTTCAAGGTAGAATAAGTAGTAAGAGTCCGCCTCTGCTACAATCCAGTCTACCGCAAAGAGAGAGAGAGAGAGAGAGAGAGTTAATTTCTACCCCTTGAACGGTAGACTGAGTAGTAAGAGTCCGCCTCTGCTACTTCGCAGTCTACCATGAGGTGAGGACACAGTAAAGTTCAAATTTTACCCTCGAACGGTCGACTAGATAGTTAGAGTTCGCCTCTGGTACTTTACAGTCCTCCACGATCACCATTTTTAAATTAAAACCTCGGATACTTCGCGTTAATTCGGCACGTGTACGTTTAAATATCGAAAATAAAATAATTTGATTTGAAATATTAAGGTGATTAACTCTGCCTTTACACTCAATTTAAACGCAGACGTATTTTTAGAGTTAGCGTTACGGTTTGGGTTAAAAGCCACACTACGAGAATGAATAACAGTGTTGTACCTTACGTAAAGTCTAGGACAATCACCTTTACTCCGGACGGTATTGGTGGCTCCTAGACCGGTCACGAATCCAAGCCATTTTGCCCTTTGCGTAACCTCTACAGTGTAACTTTCTTTACTTGTTACAGTATTGGTAACCTCTGGATCGCGGAAGGGATACTATTTTGACACGTTGTGCCAGGTATTCTTGACAAATCAAAAGTGCGTCGCGAACGTGTATCTCGCACTACTGCTCGACAACCGCTTCAGTTTGATTAGAAAAGTCGGGCTCCCCAAATTCTGAACGCTCGGTCAAGAAATTAAGTTACATTTTAACCTCACGTCCCACCTACGCGTCCAGTAGTAATCCCGAGTTATTAAGTGCAAGCTTAGACTCGAATAATACGTCGTGCCAACGTAACACTACTATAAAGAAATTTAAAATTTCATGANATTTTATCTTTTATTAAAAAAGCAAATTTCAGTACCGTCTAGTACCCAGATTTATGTAATCAGGAACAATCCGTTTTTTGTAAATTGTTTTCAGATACACTATCATGGATGCAAATTTTTATGAGTGTGACAAATGTCACTCAAAATTTTCAAATCAAGAGTGTCTATCATTGCACGAAAAAATTCACAAAAAAAGATTTTTGTATGTGATTTGTGTAGCATTAAAATATTAGACAAGAAAAACTATTTGCGTCACACACAGGAATGCCAAAACATTGAAAAAAATTTTAAGTGTATTAAATGCGAAAAAAGTTTCAAAAGATATTATCACTTACAGAGACATTTGAAAAGTCATAAAAAAAATGTTCAAAAAAATATTTTTTTAAATTGTGGAAAAGGTTATGTAAGAGCAGAGCACCTAAAAGGACATTTTAGAGTATGTAATCAAAATAAACATCGTAATTAAGATAATTGTAACAAAATTTTTTGTTGTGGTCAAATAAAATTATATGTGAAAATTAGACCAATTAATAATAAAACTATTATAATAGTGTAGAATTTAAGAAAAAATAACTTAAATAAGGTAGCCTTGCATAACCTCAAGAACAACTACCCTTACTCGTAACAGTACTGGTAACCTTTAGATC